GAAAAGCTGCTTTGCAGTGGAGCTTCAAGAGCGAAGTGACTCAAATGGTCTATTAGAAATAAAGCGAGGTATATGTGCTTTTCTATCAGGTCCCATCTCAGCAGGATCGGCCGAAACAACTTCCCAGCATCCGTTGACATCGTTTGATAGGTTTCAACCACCATCCCGTAGGGAGTAGTACCGCCTGTTGTAGGCGAATTGGCACTTATCGCAAGAACGGCATACTTCCAGGGCGAGCTTCCTGAGTCCCTTCACGTAGAATGCTCTGAAGAAAACCCATCTGGCGTACCGAACATTGAGACGACGAGAGTCGACGTGATAGGAGGGTAGCACTCTTTTAGCGAAATCAACTCCTTCCTGAGAGTCTGAAGGGATGCATAAGCAGAGACGCGAGAGGCCGTGCCACGCATTAGATCGGCAGAGACGCATAAGAAGGCCGTCGCTCGCCGAGACGAACTCCATGTCATTGGGGATCCGAACAACCGCCCGCGCTGTTAAGCTGATCCATGATTGCCGCTACCTCCGGCGAACCGTGTTGAAGGTCCAATAAATCCTTCCGAGCTGGCTGACCGATGCCAATGTTGACACTGTTGAGGATATGAGGAGAATGATCTTCGGAGATAGCGTAGAGAACCCTTCTCGGGGAGTCCGATGCGAGCCCTGACTCGCGAGGACGTGAGCGTGAGATGGTGAAGAGGATTTGCGCGTAACTGATGCGCCTCTAGTCCCCTTGATCCTGCCATCAAAGATCACCCCTTGATGAATGTGCCAGGAGAAGGCCAGACGGCTGAGCGAGTCAGCCTGCGAGTTGTGTTCCCCTGGGAGGTGGTCAGCGCGTGGATGAAACATTATAGCGTCGTGCCCACACCCCTTTCAGGTCAGCCACCGCCTCACACAATCTTTAAATCGCAAATCGCTCGATAGAGCGACTCGTCATCCTCTCACCACCCCGCACCCAAGAGAGGGCAGTGCGATAGTCAGTTAGGAATCTGACCTGGAGACCATGGGACTAAGGTATGAGGGGGTCGCAGAACACGAAAGGAAGGCCGAGGCAGTATGCTTTTCGTCGGCTCTGATCCCATGACTACCTTGCCAGCACTTGGCCTTCCCATATATGGCGACCTGCCCCCTAGATGCGATACCGATGCAGAGGAAGAAGCCCATACCGTAAGGGGAAGCATCAATTGTGATAGTAAGCGTGGCGCCACAGAATGCGATCTCGTGCTGACAGGGCTCCCTGCGTTCTGCTAACCGAGAACAAGCGATGTTGATGGTCTGGGCATCCTCTTCGCTAATAGTGATCCTCTCGTCCCAGGAGGTAGGCAACCACTTACCAGAGACTCTCCTTACCAGATCGGCCGCTAAAGCACACTCCGGGTGCAGCCCGAGAGCGTCATAACCTGCACCAGCCCACCGAAATGCCTCACGTTTGGTCACGACATCACCGGCCGACAATTTCCGCGAGACCAGAGTGGCAGAAGACATTGTAGCATGTTCTGAATCCGTTTTCTCTTGTGCGGCCTCCGAGTGGCGAAATCGTCGAACTTGTGAACGAATCGTCTGCATTGTAGAATA